CTAAGTGATCCAAGGAAACCACAGAAAAACTTGGACCAAGGCAGACGGACCCGGAATCGAACCGGCGTCCTCCCGAATGCTAAGCAATGGTCTAGACCTCTAGGCCATGCCGCTCGGTGCTAAAGCTAGAACAACCCATATCTTTAACTATTTGTGAACAGTAATCTAATCTAGATCTACCTCAATCCCTTCTAACCTCTGTTTCTGCCTCTAATATGCCTCTGACTACACCTTCATGCCTGAGAAGGTATCCTACTAACCTTCTACATCCACGGTATCCTTATCATTCGCCTGTAACACCACATTTCGAACGCTACCAACCTTTTCTTTTCCGCCGCGCTCATTGTCCATGTTTCGCACCCGTACAGCGCCGTGCGCCAAAGATACAGATTTAACAACCTTTTTCAAATTTCCAAATTAACTGTTCGCGAGCATAGAAGTGATTTCGTTTTATTGAAGTACGAGAGGTGACAACAGCAACCACGACCAACCGGCCTACAAGATTAACGATCCGTCGTACTAATGTGACTATATATACTATGATTAAACATACATACAATTTAGGCCCGGCGGGGGTGTGACAACAGCAACAACTTTTCCCTCATTAATTTGAGGTAGCGTGTAGTGGGTATAAAATTCAAAAATGAATTTTAAGAATAATATTTCATATTAAAAAATATTTATTTATTTTTAGGAAGTAACTTCAAAATTTCATATGCCTTTGTCATAATGAGATCATTTTCATTTTGAGTATCGTCGTAGCTACTCGAATATATATGTTAAGATATAAATAAAATATATAATTTAAAGAATGCTAATAAGTAATTTCAGTATAGGTACCTATATATGTATTCAAGTGGCTTGTTATCAATTACTAATTAAGAACTAAATTTAAAACATAAAAAATGGTTACCTGAATGAGAAAAATTTTTGGCTTTCCAACTAACGACGGACATTTATTTCCCACAAAAGGGGTCCATAACGTATCAACAGAATACATGTGATCATAAGCATGTAAACCATTGCTTTCTCCGTGTGTTAGAACAATTATCATAAGGCAACCCACATCTTCGTGTTTGTCTTCAGCAGCTGTAAAAAATTGAAAAAAAACATAAGAAATAATAAAGAAAAGTAAATAAGTAGAGATTAATCTAGAAGACTGGCCAAATTTCCCGAGTTGTAGTACACTCTAAATATCTCAAACCCCAACGCAAAACACGATACTAAGCGTCCGAAGGGCACGTGAAGAAGGTAATCTTTTGTTACCGAAATGCACTTTAGCGTTGGAGTTTGAGCTATTTAGAAATTCAATTAACGATTAATTAATTAAAATAAGTAGTGTACATTTTTCTATTTGATATTAAGTAATTAAATGTTTCATATCACGAGATATATGAGTACATAAAAATGTTTTTTGTTTAGTTGAGTTTATAGGTAATCGAATCCTACTGAAAAAGAAATATTTACCTGTTTGAAGTGTTTGATAGATTTCCATGTATTTTAAGTCTCTGTGCACTTTTATATCGAAATTCAAGGCGGAGAGGCGTTTCTTCAAATTCTTTTCATCTAAATCAGTACCGTCCCTTGAATTCAGCGTTTGAAATTTGTAGTGATTAAATATTATAGCTCTTCCACGCTGCTTATAGTTCATAGGAAAAACATAGGAATCTTTAGAAATTGTACTGTTTAGGATTGGCAAAGTATATTCATCTTTGCTATGAGTTGGTGCTGCGTCACATACGGTTGTGTTTTTTCTATAAAAAAATAATTATCACAATTCAGTTATTTATCGCAAAAATAAGAACGGAAGAGAGAAAATTATTATTATGTACTTTAATATGAACGTTTAGATATACTTTACTGTACTTACTTAATAAATTCGATCTTAGTTTTATTTACTACTTCTTTTATCAGGAAACACATGGAGGTTCGTCGTGGCAGACGTAAGCAGACCGATACTAGGCATCGACTTTTTGGCGCATTTTAACGTAATGGTAGACGCCAAAAATCGAAGACTGATCGACGCCACGACAAAAATTACAACGGTGGGACAAACAGCCAACTCCAACGTTCCGACGATCAATGTCATAACTGGATCTTCACCATATCTTGACCTTCTTGCCAACTTTCCGGATATCGTGCGTCCGGATGGAACCGGGACCGTAAAGCATCGGACGGAACACCACATCCAGACGACTCCTGGACCACCCGTGGCACACAAGCCCCGAAGATTGGCCCCAGACCGTCTACGGGCAGCGAAGAGAGAGTTCGACGCGATGCTTAAGTTAGGAACCGTCAGACCATCCCAGAGCTGTTGGTCGTCTCCCCTCCATATGGTCCCCAAGGAAGGCGACGAGTGGCGTCCCTGCGGCGATTATCGAGGTCTCAATGCGCGGACCGTACCTGATCGATATCCTGTCCGCCACATACACGATTTCTCGCAGACGTTGGCGGGAAACACCGTGTTTTCGACGATCGATTTGGTAAAGGCGTATCACCAAATCCCGGTCGCCGCAGCGGACATCTGCAAAACAGCCATCGCGACTCCCTTCGGACTTTACGAGTTTCCATTTATGTCGTTCGGTTTACGAAACGCGGCGCAGACATTCCAGCGCTTCATCGATGAAGTGCTACGTGGCCTGGATTTCTGCTACGCGTATATCGACGACATACTGGTAGCATCGTCCACACCTGAGGAACATTTGGCCCACCTTGAAGTCCTGTTTCGCCGCCTCCAAGACTACGGCGTGGTCATTAACCCGGCGAAATGTAAATTTGGGGAAACCTCTGTGAAATTCCTGGGATACCTGGTTGACAGCAAGGGTACAGCACCACTCCCGGAACGAGTCGACGCCATTACATCGCTTGCCCAGCCAACCTCAGTCAAGGAGCTTCGTCAATTCCTGGGAATGGTCAATTTCTACAGGAGATTCATCCCCAAGGCTGCAAGTCTCCAGGCGCCTCTCAACGAGCTTCTGAAAGGCGACGTCAAGGGCAAGACACCGCTGGTATGGACACCAGAAGCGAAAGCCGCCTTCGACGCTACCAAGGATGGTTTGGCAACCGCCGCACTCCTGGCACATCCTGTATCCGATGCGCCACTGGCGATATTCTGTGACGCGTCGAATTTCGCAATAGGAGCGGTACTGCAACAGTTCGTCAACGGATCTTGGCAGCCATTATCCTTCTTTTCCAGAAAGCTTAAGTCAGCAGAGAAGAAGTACGCCGCGTACGACAGGGAACTCCTGGCTATTTACGACGCCGTAAAATATTTCCGCCACATGGTGGAAGCCAGGACGTTCACAATCTACACTGACCATAAGCCAATTACGTACGCTTTTGGAAAGAAGGATGGCATATGCACCCCGAGGCAATTTCGTTACCTTGACTTCATTGGCCAATTCTCTACGGACATCCGCCACCTTCCGGGAGAGGACAACGTGGTCGCCGACACCCTTTCAAGGATCGAAGAGGTCACTGTAGCCATCGACATGGAGGAACTAGCCGCAGCACAACGTACCGACAAGGAGCTTGCAGCGTTGGAGAAAAACAAGACGTCTAACCTGCAGCTCAAGCTCATCAAAATTCCTGGTACGCACATCTCACTGGTCTGCGACGTTTCGACCTCCACGGCGCGCCCCTTCATTCCCCACCAATTCCGTCGAGCAGTGTTCGACAAAATTCATGGTTTGTCACACCCAGGAGCCAATGGATCTGCCAAACTGGTATCCGCTCGTTACGTTTGGCCATTCATAAAAAGAGGAATGTCGGGAGATGGCGAAAAACTGTCTAGATTGCCAAAAGTCTAAGATAACACGTCATGTGTCAACAGTACCAGAGAACTTCACACCGCCTTCCAGCCGATTCGAGCACGTCCATGTCGACATTATAGTAATGCCTTACTGCGAAGGCTACCGCTACCTGTTGACATGCGTGGATCGATTCTCCCGCTGGCCAGAGGCTATCCCGATGGAAGATCAAGAGGCCGCTACAGTTGCTCGTAATTTTTATGCACACTGGATAGCTCGTTTTGGGACTCCGTTACGCATTACGGCGGACCAAGGAAAACAATTTGAGTCGCACCTGTTTAGGGAATTGAACGCTCTAACAGGTACGACCCATTTAAGAACAACGGTATACCATCCAGAAGCGAATGGGATGGTTGAAAGGCTTCACCGTCAGTTGAAAGCAGCGATCAAGTGCCACCGCACCGCTAAGTGGACCGAAACCCTTCCAACCGTCATGCTAGGGATTCGATCAGCCTGGAAGGACGATCTGCAATCCACCGCCGCAGAAATGATATACGGTGAACCCCTACGCCTTCCAGGCGAATTCCTAGCTATAACAACGCCAGAAACCAGCACCACATCGGAGTTTGTACAACAACTGCGGCAATACGTACAACATTTACAACCCGTACACGGCACCAGGCACGGCGAGAGGACACCGTTCATCTTCAAGGATCTCGCAATCACAAGCCAGGTGTTTGTGCGCCATGACGGACCAAAAGGACCACTTCAGCAGCCGTACGATGGTCCATTCAAGGTTATATCACGAGCGGAAAAAACGTTCGTGGTATGCATTCGCGGGAAGAACGTCAAGATAGCGATAAACCGTCTAAAACCTGCGTACGTTGTTGCCGACCTGGACGACTACAACACCAACGACGAGAGGACCATTGAGATCCAACAAACTCCGATCGTTCCAGAGCATCCGGCCACCTCACCGCCACCCGTACCGGAAGTACCACCAATTGCGAAACTACCAGTCCAGCAGTCGCAGCCGACGTCATCGCCACAAAGAACAACGCGATCAGGACGCCGTGTCCGATTCCCAGATCGCCTACAAGTCGGGTTCTCGTGACTTTATCACTGGCAGGGGGGTACTGTGGCGAAATAACTCTTTTTGTTTTTTT